GACAGAGTAGAACTGCCCCATAGGGTTTCCCAGGCTGTAAATCTTTACAGTAGGAGACTGTCACATCTTTCTCCTGAGGAGCGGCTGGTAGGTTTGAACCGCCGACCTTTCAGTTAGCAGCCGAGTGCTTTAACCACTGCGCCACTAGGGCTCTGAGAAACAAGACAGCACAAGACAAAAGGCAGAAAAACCTGGTAGTCCCGTGTGATCAAGTCCACTTGGGTCTGCTCCCGGTGAAGGCAGAAAAACCTGGTAGTCCCGTGTGATCAAGTCCACTTGGGTCTGCTCCCGGTGAAGGCAGAAAAACCTGGTAGTCCCGTGTGATCAAGTCCACTTGGGTCCGCTCCCAGCAGCTATGGAGGGGAAGGTTCTAAGGACGGCAGTGTTCCCACCTAGGACCGTAGCTCTCCCCAAGGACCACTGCCGTCTCTACACCCCCCTGAGGACTGGTGTCAGCCATCTAGTGCTGCCATAACAGAAATACCACAAGTGGATGGTTTTAACCAAGAGCAGTTTATTTCCTCACCGTCAAAGTAGGGTAAAAGTCCAAATTCAGGGCATCAGCTCCAGGGGAAGTCTTCTTCTCTCTGTTGGCCTTCTCATCAGTGTTCCCCCGGACTAGGAGCTTCTCTGCGCAGGGACCCTGGTCCAAAGGACGTGCTCTGCTCCCGGCACTGCTTTCTTGATGGTATGAGATCCCCAACTCTCTGCTTGCTTCCATTTCCTTTTCTCTCTTGAGAGATAAAAGGTGGTGCAGGCCACGCCCCAGGGAAACTCCCTTTACATTGGATCAGTGATGTGACCTGGGTAAGGGTGGTGTTACAGTCCCACCCTAATCCTCTTTAACATAAAATTACAATCACAAAATGGAGGCCAACCACACAATTCTGGGAATCATGGCCCAGCCAAATTGATACACACATTTTTGGGGGGACATAATTCAAACCATGACAACTGGCTTCCAGAAGGACCTGCGTAGGTCTTTGCTTTTGATGATGCGGTCTACACGTTCATTTCTCTTCTAGACCTTGAAAAAGAAATGACGGTTTTTGACACTATCAAATAATTTGTGAGCGATCTGATGTATGGTCAGTGCCTGAGATCTTACAACGTGTGTCCGCTTCTCCCCCACGACTGTCTGTAAACACTCCCCACGATCTAACAACACATCTGAGGAACCCGGGAGAAAATGTCATTGAACCAAGCTTGAGATTCAGTCTGGCAGAACTTGGCCGTTGCTAGGTGGGGTGTGGAGAGAGTGCTGGAAAGATCCAGGTGTGTAATAGGAGCATGTAATAGGAGCCAAGCGCAGCCAGAGGAGAGTTAGGACACAAGGGGCCCTTGATTTCTCAACCTTTCCTCGCCCTGCAGCGGTGAGCAGCCTGGGGCCTGGGCTCCCAGCCCACCCTGTCCAGGCTGTCAGCGTGCTGGCTGGGCACCGAGTGTTTCATAACTTGCCTTCACCTCCTGAACTCATTAACAGAGACAGGACCTGCCTCGGTGCTGAAACCAGCCTAGCTCACGTATCGGACAATTGGCTTAAGCTTCACGTCAGAAGTCAGGCACGACTTATTTGAATGAAACACAATTTTTTGAGTATTATTTTCAGAGAAAAGGTTATATGCAGTAATTTACAAATGTGAATATATATCACTGGGGTTTAAATTAATCAGGTTTTGCATCACCCAATCCTTTTGTTTTCACATTTTAGCTGTGCAGACGTTATGACTGTGTTCATTCTCATTTATGGCTAACAGCATGCTAGCAGCGATCTTCATCAACACACATCAGAACAGCGGTGAAGCCACTACTGGGAGGACGTACTGAACAGACGCCGGATCTGAGGAGGAACGCTAGAAAAACTCAAAGGATTACACGGGATGACGAACGCCGCTTTCTCAGTAGCGAGGAACAAACATTGACTCATGTTTGTGATAAACGACATCAGATATTCCTGGAAGACAACCCACCGCCGTCAAGTCGATTCCGACTCAGGGCGACCTCACGGGGTCTCCAAGGCTGTAATCGTTATGCAAGCACATTGCCGTATCTTTCTCCCACGGAGCCGCTGGTGGTTTTGAACTGCTGACCTTTCAGTTAGCAGTTGATTACTTTAACCACTGCACCACCAGGGCCCCTTCCTAGAAGACGAAGCTCTGGGAACCCAGGTTACTAGCTGACTTTGGGCCAGAGGCTCAGACAGCAGCAGGCACTTGTCCGCGGCCCCGAAGCCAGTACCGCCCCGAGTCTTCCAGCTTAGAAGTTCCGGGAGAATGAGCGTGACTTCCCGGCCAGTGTTCTTCTGGGGAGGCTGTTTCTTAGAAACGGAGTTCCCAGTCATTCTGAAGGTCCTTTAGGCTAACAACTGACATTGGCATATGGCAATTTTAAAGCAATCAAGAACCTTAAAAAAAAAAAAGAAAGAAAGAAATCTTGTTCTGGAATATAGTTTTCCGTGATTTCACGTGTGATGGTTACGTGTCAACTTGGCTAAGCCGTATTCTCAGGCGCCCCTTGGAAACCCAGTGAGGCACTTCTTCCCTGTCCTGTAGGGTTGCTCGGAGTTGGAACTGACTCGGCAGCAACGGGTTTGGTTTTTGGTTTAACATGACTTGTATGATATAAAAATACAGCAAACTGCTTTAACTTCATTAAACCAATCAATGGCTCTAGCTCCTTTAACTAGCCTCAACTCTATTTTAGTTAGATGCTGAAGAGCAATTCTAGGTAAGACAGGGTCTGAGCCTGAGGGAGCAGTGGACAGGCACCGTCACCCAGCCAAGTCTGTCCACCCTGGGGCCATGGGACCAGACACAGGAGCCCCAGGGCGTGGTCTGATGCCGGCTCGGCCAATTCCTGCCTGTTTCACACGGCTATGGACTCAACAAGATAGACTGACACAGTGGCTCCAACAATTGGCTCAAGCATAACAATGATTGTGAGGATGGCACAGGACCGAGCAGTGTTCTGTCCTGTTGGACACGGGGTCGCTATGAGTCGGAACCAACCTAACGACAACATGGACAGAACGGTGTCCTCCAAAACCCTGTACCAGTAAATGTGATTTCACGTGGAGACAGGTTCTTTCTTTGGAAATGCAGTCAGGGTAACATGAGGTCAGGCTGGAGCAGGGTGGGCCCTAATCCCATCTGAGGGTTGTCCTGTAAGAGAGGAGAAGAGACACAGAGACGGGAGACAGAAAGAAGACGGCCTTGTGGAGATGGAGGCAGAGACTGGAGTGATGGGGCCCGAAGCCAAGGAGCCCCTGGGCTACTAGGAGTGGGGAGAGATGAGATCCTCCCTAGGGCCCTCAGAGAGAACGTGCCCCTGCGGATAACCCTATTTGGGACTCTGAAACTGTGAGACAATAAATTTCTGTTCCTATAAGCCACCCGCTTTGTGGTATTTTTGTCGTGACGGCCTCAGGACTGTAAGACACACCGCTGCTGTTCCCTCATGTCTGAAATGGAAACGGCACCGTCCTGCTTCCAGCACGGGGCCTTGTGGGGCTGCAGAGAGAACATGCATGAATGAGCTTCGCAAACTGCACAGTTCCTCAACAGGAGCAGAGGAAAAAGAGCAGGAGAGCACTGCTCAGAGGGCATTGGGGGCGGGGAGATGGGGGGTGGGGGGTAGGTGCCCAGAGGGCAGAGGAAAAAGAGCAGGAGAGTACCCCTGGGGGGGTGGGGAGGCGGGCAGAGGACGGGGAAAGGGCATTAAGAGCAGGAGAGCACCGCTCAGAGGTGGGGGGGCCCAGAGGATGGGGTGCGGTGAAGAGCAGGAGAGCACCGCTCAGAGGTGGGGGCACCCTAGAGGCCCGGAGGTGGCTCACACCCACTTTCTCTCTAGCCCAGAAGCTGTGGCGCTGGTCTCATCTGTTGGCAGGAGAGACCAGAACATTTTAAATATTCCAGTTACCTTTGAAACAAATCCTAACTTACCTGCATAGTGGCAACCAGGACGTCAAGACCATGCCCTTAGAAAACCTCCAGTCATTTGTTGAAACCTCTTCGGGAGCAGTTCCTGGCTAATCCCAAGCTGGTCTCCTCGACCCAAGTGCCCAGTGTAGGTGGACAGCCTGGTCCGGACGCCCTGTCCCCTGCAATCTCGACAGCTTTCTCTGGAAAGGCACAGGATCCCAGCTCTCCACAGAATCATCGACTTGGGCTTCTGGCAGATGAGGAAGTGAGGCTCAGGGCAACTCAGTGACTGGCTGAAGTCGTGGCCACGGGGGCTGTTTTCAGGCGAGATTTGGGTGCATTTTCTAATGTCTGCCCATCAGAAAAAGAACATATTCTGAACGGCTGGGACTGCCCATGCCTTTCCCCAGGCTGTTGTGATAATTTTCAAAGAACTCTGTGTTTCACCTGTTAAAGTCTTTTAGGAAATGTTGTTCTCCAGCTTCCTAATAAATGGAGTAAGATATTTAATCATACTTACTGTAATGGATTGAACTGTGTTCCCCCAAAATATGTGTCACCTTGACTAGGCCATGATTCCCAGTATTGTGTGGTTGTCCTCCATTTTGTGATTGATGTAATTTTCCTACGTGTTGTAAATCCTAATCTCTGCCTGTGGTTAATGAGGCAAGATTAGATTATGTTAAAGAGGATTAGGGTGGGATGTAACACCCTTGCTCAGGTCACATCCCTGATCCAATGTAAAGGAGTTTTCCTGGGGTGTTGCCTGCACCACTTTTTATCTTACAAGAAAGAAGCAAGCAGTGAGACAGGGGGACCTCATACCACCAAGGAAGAAGCACCTGGAGGACAGTGTGTCCTTTGGACCTGGCATCCCTCTGCTGAGAAGCTCCTAGACCAGGGGAAGATTGATGACAAGGACCTTCCTCCAGAGCCGACGGAGACAGAAAGCCTTTCCTGGGAGCTGGCGCCCTGAATTTGGACTTCTAGCTTCCTAGACTGTGAGAGAATAAACTCTTGTTGAAGCCATCCACTTGTGGTATTTCTGTTACAGCAGCACTAGCTAACTAAGACACTTACTTAGCAAATCTTTAAATCATTTATTGTCATTAAGTTACAGCATTTCAATATACACACTGCGTGGAAATACACAGATAACTTTTTCCAATGCTGGGAATAAGATTTTAGGTATGTGATGAGCTACTGGTTGTCTCATGATCATTAAAGGCAAAAATTCCGAGTGCAGTAGTGACACATTTTGTTCTTGTCCGTTTTCATGAAGTAAATGCTAACAGATAATATACATATTACTGCAGCTAAAACCATCAGTGGGAATTATGAAGTTGCTTGCATATTCTGAGCTACTCTTTATGAAGAGAAGTGAAATATTCAGTACTTGTAAGGCAGCAGAGAGTGGTTTAGGTACTCTCAGCTATTTCTAGAAAAACAGCCTGGTTAGGAGAAATAGCACACAGCCCGTTTTTCCTCGGTGAGACTATTCATGACGTGGAATCTGTGACCCGGCAGTGGTGGCGGCAATGTGGCAATGCTGTCCCTGCAGAGAGCAGGCCTCACTTCCCACTGCTACGCGGAGGCCTTTTTACTCATCCTGGAAAGAAACACAAGGGAGGACTCAAGGAGAATCACGACCTCGCCACCAGCCTTGGAGCCTCCTGACACCTTTAAAGACACCTTGAGACAACAACTTGCAATCTCATAAAAACAGTAACATCCTATCGAACCCGATGCCGTCAAGTTAATTCCAACTCACAGAAACCCTACAGGACAGAGGACAACAGCCCCATAGGGTTTCCAAGGAGCAGCTGGTGGCTTCAAACTGCCAACCTTTTGGTTAGCAGACAAGCTCTTAACCACTGTACCACCAGGGCTTCAAATATCCTATTAGTGTAACTTTGAAGTTTTAACAAGTGAATCTGAGTTGTAGTGCATTAGCTGCCAGATCACTGTTTTAAATCAATAGCATATCTTTGCCCTGAATCGAGTTCCCCATCTGCTGAGCACACCTGTACACTCACGCGCCCACTCACGCCCCAGCCTCCCAACACCTCCCAGGACAAGGTCTTCGCTTCACTCCCCCCATGCCCTCCAAATGAAACCCCCGTATCCGCTCACTCGTGTCTGATGAGCCGACCTCCCTGGATGATCTGGGCCACCTCGTTGGTCGCGTGGCACGCAAACAGGAGCCAGTTCCGAGGCTGGACCTTGTAGGCAAACCTCATGAATGTCAGAGAGTAACAGCAGAGAGCTGCCAAAGTATACCACAAAGAGAAAATCCATCAGTCCCATCTGGGAAGCTCAGCCAAGATGACCACAGCCATCGAAAGTTCAACTGCCCTACTCAAAGAAGAACCTTGGAGGTTAGAACCCTTGACAGAGGGTCAGTTATTACTTAAATGCCTCTGTGGATGGGAGGCTCATGAGCTTACGCTAGTGCTAGGTATTTTTGTTACTTATAATTTAAAACACTTGAGGAACATATGTGTTAGAAAGAAGAAGCTAAATCTAGTTGCAGCCACATTTTCTGTCCCTAGAGTTGCTTATGATCTACAACCCTAAAGAATTGCTATTTATTTTCCAACAATAGTTTTATGTTCACACATCAGGGTTTCAAGTAAACTTAATAATACTTTTTCCAGATAAAGTTCACAATATAAATCCATTAGGCTGGCTATACAGAATGATTAAGATAGCCTAGGCTTCAAGTGGGTATACGAAATCTGAAAGGCAAACGAGATCTTTATTCTTCTTAGATAAATATTTCCAATGAATCACATTCCTTCTTCACCGTAGAGAGGGTAACACCTTCAATGCCATCCTGTTCTTTACGTCATTTTCTAACAGTGACTGCAGTGTGGTGCCTGGTGCTACAAACTTCAGATGTAAGCAGGAGTTACCTTACGTTTAAACAAAAGTAAAATCCCAGATGTATGCAATAATTGTTGTTGTTGTTGTTAGGGGCTGTCGAGTCAGTTCCAACTTATAGCGACCCCATGTACAATAAAACGAAACACTGTCCGGTCCTGCGTCATCCTCACAATTGTTGCTATGCTTGAGCCCCTTGTTGCAGCCACTGTGTCAATCCATCTCGTTGAGGGTCTTCATCTTTTTCGCTGACCCTCTCCTTTACCAAGCATGATGTCCTTCTCCAGGGACTGATCCCTCCTGATAATGTGTCCAAAGTATGTGAGACGTAGCCTCGCCATCCTTGTTTCTAAGGAGCATTCTGGCTGTACTTCTTCCAAGACAGATTTGTTCATTCTTCTGGCAGTCCAATATTGGTATATTCAATATTCTCCAACACTACAATTCAAAGGCGTCAATTCTTCTTTTGTCTTCCTTATCCATTGTCCAGCTTTCACATGCATATGAGGCAATTGAAAACACTGTGGCTTGGGTCGGGTGCACCTTAGTCTTCGAGGTGACATCTTTGCTTTTCAACACTTTAAAAAGGTCTTTTGCAGCAGATTTGCCCAGTGCAATGTGTCTTTTGATTTCCTGACTGCTGCTTCCATGGGTGTTGATTGTGG